CAAAAATATCTGTAGCTCCTAGAAAGGTATACCTTATGGTTTAGCTACCTATACAGTGTTCAAATATAAATATCTTCACACTTACTAAAAGGTCTATCACTAGCAAAAGAGAAATTAGGTATATAATTTGTTTTCTTACTTCACAAATCAACCTAGAATTATCATTACTGTAAAAATTAATTATTGCAATGTTAAAGAATAATTTAGACCAGTGAGCAAAATGTATTATTCTGCACAGATGTAAATTAGTTTGAGCTGGAAATGTATTTACTGCATGTGTATCCTGCTTATTATATAACAATTGTTCTTTGACTTGATTGTCAGATTGACTTGAATTTCTATAAGTCTTGAAGACATCTTTCTTAGAGGAGCAAATACTGTGAGATGTATTTCCAAGATGAGGTTCAGGCTGAGGTTCACGTTTGTTTTCTCCATTCTCATTTTTAAAAATGATGAAAAACAAACTTTCCCCCCATTTTTTTGTCAAATAATCTTCAGTTTTGTTATTTTCTTATAGGAAGGATCCTAAATCGTTTCTCCAAAGATATTGGCCATCTGGATGACTTGTTGCCATTAACATTCTTGGACTTTGTACAGGTAATCTATGGACTTTTGCAGATTTGGGATTGGGGTATCCTAGGTCTTGATGACACACACACACACACACACACACACACACACACCTCTCTCTCTCTCTGTGTGTAATGAGTTTAGTGAAAGTACTTGTTTGAGAAGGGTGTAATCCAAAACCATAGAACAAGTGGTAGTGACTGGGGAGAAGAAATGAGTAATAAATGGCTGGTAGGAGTGGCTCTTAAACTGTTTACCATTATGTCAGGGTTTCAGTATGTAGTAGTTTAATGCTTGGTAAGTTGTACCTGGTTTGCCTTTGAGACATTTGGCAAGCTTTCTGCAGTGTTATGAAACATATCCACAGTAAAGGAACAATCAGCTCACATGAAAAGATAGCACCGATTAACCTATTTATGCATGTACTTCCTCAAAGAAGCCAATGTTTACTATAGCTGTTTGGGATTGAAATAGGTGTGGTTATGTACAAAGAAGAGATTAGTAATAATACTTCTGAAAATAATAGCTTCAATGGAAACAAAAGAAAGAAGTATTATAAATACAAAAAGGTCCTCTAAGTATAAACAATGTTTGTATCAAGGAAGTAGTAATGGATAAATTTGCGGCAAAATATTTGAGTTTCAGAAGAGTCTCAAATATCTTTTCTTTTTTTCCATGTAGGAAGCACAACATAGGAAGTTACATTCCCACTTATGATATGGTCTTGTTTGGAAGACCTTCTTAGTTTTTAAGCCCTCAGCTGGTGATAGCAGTCTATCTGCTCAAAAGGCTAAGCAGGATTGAATTTAATTACTCTTGGATGGGAAATCAATCCTGAAGATTGCAATGGCAAACCATTTTCATATTGCTGCCAAGATAACACAAACATGGACATATTTTATCAGGAATTAAGTGAACTCAATGGAGAGTTTACTAGTGACATCAAGATATTACCATGTTCCCAGACTAGGTTTTACCTACATATTTATATTTATCTGAAGGGTGGGCCATATTGATACTGAGTGTAGCTGCATTGACAAAGTTAACACTTATTCAATTATCACATTTATTTCCAATGATAGCAATGATAGCAGTATGTACCTAATCTAGCAATAGATTCCGAAGACAGATTAAATTGTCGGTGCATTGAATAGTTATATATTCATGGCCATTAACAGCAATTTATTGAGACTTGACTTCTGTTCTTTTCCTTGCTTTTAAAGAAAATTAGTCTTGTGTCCACAGTAACTGGGATGCAGTGGCTCAATGGCTAAGACGCTGAGCTCGTTGATCAGAAAGGTTGGCAGTTCGGTGGTTTGAATCCCTAGCACTGCGTAATAGAGTGAGCTCCCATTACTTGTCCCAGCGTCTGCCAACCTAGCAGTTCGAAAGCATGTAAAAATGCAAGTAGAAAAATAGGAACCAACCTATGGTGGGAAGATAACAGCATTCCGTGAGCCTTTGCCGTTAAGTCATGGCAGCCACATGACCATGGAGACATCTTCGGACAGCGCTGGCTCTGCGGCTTTGAAATGGAGATGAGCACCACCCCCGAAAGTCGGGAACGACTAGCACACATGTATGAGGGGAACCTTTACCTTTACCTTATCACAGTAACAGAAGAGAGGGAAAAGCTCAACATTTTCTGAAAGTTTTAGCTTTGCTTTTTAAAGCTGCAGTCCAACAGATTTTAGAAAAGTATTTCTTTGTAGAAATCTGCCTTTTAAGCTCTTTTTCTTTTTGGGTGGTTGTAACACATTATGTTGAACTCTAAAACTCATACACTGAAACATACAAGTAAATCAT